CTTTTTTGTTATCTGCAGCCTCCAAGTGGCACAACGGTATGTCTGCAGACTTACAACGCTATAATCCGAGTTTCGATACCCGTGGTGGGCAGAGCACAGATAGCCCATTATGTAGCTTTGTGCTTAACTACAAACAAAACAAACTTGTTATCTGCAGTTTAGTACATCCAGAAATTTAAATTTCTTACAATATTTACTATACATCCTATCTATGATTTTAGGTTCATACCCTCTATCAATCGCTACATGTTTTAAATACGTTAATCCTAACATCAAATGACGAAACATTAATAATAAACAAAATAAACAAATAAATAAACGCTCAATAAACGAAAATGAGGACATTTTTTGTGACCATGGGTGACACGATCTTACATAATATCGGGGTACCGTTCCGCCCTATTGTTGATAACAGAGGGTCTTCAAGACATTTGGTGGCCATGTTTATTGTCAAAAAAATTTCGTTTTTAACAAATTCACATACGTACACAGTTAAAAAGTAATTAGAATTTCTAAAAAAGGTTTGTTTTTGAATTTCGCGCAAAGCTACACGAGGGCTATTTAGCAGTGTAAGACTAGAGGGAAGGCAGCTAGTCATCACCACCCACCGCCAACTCTTGGGCTACTCTTTTACCAACGAATAGTGGGATTGACCGTCACATTATAACGCCCCCACGGCTGAAACGGCGAGCATGTTTGGTGGGACGGGGATTCGAACCCGCGACCCTCAGATTACGAGTCGAGCGCCTTATCCATCTGGCCATGTCAGGCCTACTAAAAAAAGGTTAAGAATATGTAGATAACAGAAAGTGAGGGATTAGTTTCTTTTGATGTAGGACAAATATTGTTAAGTAAGTCTTTTTTTCCCGATTAGAAGTACGTGATATTATACATTTAACAAGATTGTGTGTAACTAACAGTTATTTTAAGGTTGGAAATAACATTTACAAACAGAATATTGGGTCATCGTTATCACCTTTATTAGTGGACATTTTCATGTTTGAGGTTGAAACTTGTGCGCTAAAAACATCGGTGATAAAACCCGAGGTGTGGCGGCACGGTAATGACACGTTAATTGAGTTCCAGAAGCATCTGAATTCAGTCAGCCCTACTATACAGTTCACTTTAGAAATTGAAGATAAGGGTTGTTTAAACTTTTTAGATGTTTCCGTAAAAAGATAGAGGGACTTTCTGTCTACTTCTGTATGCAGGAAGACATACTCAGTTGTCATGGCACCGCATGTGAGATCGTGTCACCCATGGTTACAAAAAATATCCTCTTTTTTCGTGTTTTGTTTATAGGGCTATTAATGTTTCGTCAGATGATGAGGATTTGATGTTAGAATTAAGGTATTTAAAACAGGTAGCGATTCGTGGTATATTCTCCTGGCGATGATGGAAACACGAAGAGTTTTTTAATGTTTTTAAACTTCATAAAACAGTATTATGCAAGTAAAAAACGTTGATGTCTTGTTTTATTAAATACTTATATAATTATTTCGAAAGCAGTTTTAAAAGTGCACCGGGAATTGCTTTACTTGATTGCTAGTACGCATTTCGTAAATTTCTGTATTTTCGTTCCTTTTTGGAACCACAAAGAAACAAAAGAGAATTTAGCATATTTTGTTAGAATGGAGGCATTTGATTCGTAAGTTTATCAAAAATTATTATCTTTCTCATCCAATAAGATTGTAAATAGAAGAAAATTGATTAATCTCCCTGA